ATAAAAGCCTTGTTGTGCAGATAATTCACGATTTTGTGCAAAAAATCTCATAAAGTATCCATTCCTTTTGGTATTTTGTGTGCAGGAGGAACTTCACTCCTACGCTGAGTTCCGCCCTGCCTCCTTACCATTTTCAAAACGTGACCGTAGGGTTCCTATGTTCACATCTCCTATGTGCACTTGTTCCCAACTCTTGAAAGCATTTTATGGTTGAATACACCAGCTGCCCTGTTACATCAACTCGTCTGCAGATGTACCGTGCCAAGAGTGATTGTAAATGCAAAGTGTCGCGCCGGCGAAGACGCATAGCTCCTCGCTATACGTTGGCATCGGAGTTCGCCGCTTAGGAGCGGCGTCACCGTCGGCGTGTTCGCCTGATCGGGGTCTTGCGCTGCGCTCGCTCTCGCCTCATTTGACACGCGGGATGTTACTTTGCCCTTGCAGCCCCTACGCTGGTCCTACACTCCAACCTCCCCCCACGCGTGCTCGTCATACAACCCGGGATAGCCTAGGCACAGCCCAACTTCAACAAGCGAACCAGAATGTATCTTCACGTTGTAACCGTCTAGATACTGTACCGCCAACACAATATTATACGCAGCCCTACATGGGTACGCCAACAAAAAAGGAATGATAATACGACAAAGGAAAGAATCGGTAAAAAGGAAGTACGTGTTATATGCATATGTACATAAAAGAAAACATTAAATATGCCAGCAATTAAAATCGCGCTGAAAAACAGTAAGCCTACGTCTCAGGGAACTCGAACCCAGTACGTTAAGTCTCAAGAGGGGTGACGTGGCTTGGGACCGCTCGGCACTTTTGAGCTTCCACGCCCAAGTCGATCACTTCGCATTCAACCGGACTGCATCATTCTTCCATCCTCGAGCGGTACGACGGCAGAACAACGATCAGTGGCGGACGGATACGACGACAATGCAGACACTCAGCCGGATGGTTTTAGACCAGAGCACGCGTCGAGTATAGCCGACGCGCAGGCGCCGATACGCTGTGCGCGCCGGGACCTCCGCGCGCCCCCACCAGGCGTGGCCCTTTAACAAGTCGGACGAAGCAACGACACAAAGTTATGATTGATTTACGGGGTGGTGACACTTCCAAATTTTTTTAACCTGCTAGAAGTTCAGTACCACTAGGAAGGAAATAATGTAATCTGCCTCGTAACATGGAATGACTCGAATGACCTCGCAAAAAAATTCGTATGAGCGTAAAAGCGTGCAGTCATCAATTTCGGCCCACCTTGTAGAATCCTAATGTCGGGTGCCTGACTTCGGGTGCTGGTATTTCCCTCAAGAAACGCGCCGCACACGCAGCAGAACGCGCGTAGCGCGCGCTGTGGAGAGAACGGATCGGATTCCTCTGTGGAAGAATAATGTAACCGCTGCGAGACACTGCAACTTGCCGTAAGACTACCCTTTCCCAGACCCAATATCGTCCTAGGATGGTTGCAAACATTACGTCCAGGAGTTTAGAAATATCAGGGTATCACAGTACGACTGTAAGTCTCTAGTTTGCAAACTCATGAATGTATTACATCTATACAGCTTCAACCCTATCACTCTTCTCGAGACAAGGATGACAAGATGCATTCCTGTCCATCTCTCTATGACCAAATGATCACAGCCTTGAGTGACTGTTTTTGGGCCGTGTTTTGTTGTTATCTATGCTAGTCATCGTCATTCGGAATATAATAGGACTTAGAATTATTTACCTAAGCACTCAGGGGCAGTTATCTTCAGAAATTAACGTTGCATTTGTTTGATGCCAACACAAACAAAAAATCAATTCACCTGAGAGAGTTGACAGCTAATAAAGCAGTTGTTGGAAATCGGTCCATACTGTCCAGTGCAGAAGAGGTAGCCAAACCCCAAATGAAAGTAGGGACATTATAATATGCAGCACTTACAGCAGAAACAATAGCCGCTGAAAATCGGTCATCCTCAAAAGTGGTGCAGTTGTGAGTTTAGGGATTGCAGCAGTAAATATCATGAAAATTTGCTGCTAAATTCATATTGGCCTTTGAATTTGTGTAGTTATTACCTATGTGTATGTGTCTGTGGAAGTGTATATGTGTGTATGCATGTATGTGTGTGCATAAGTAGATGCACGTGTCTACACTTGTACAGAGTCCCCCAGAACTATGAACTTTTAAATATATTGCAGTAGTCATTGCAGAATATTCGAAAGTTCTGAGCAAAAAAATAATAGTTGATTTTATAAATACGTTCGATTACATTATGTGCAACAACAAGCTACTATCACATTACAAGATATCCCCCATAAGCACGAGTGGGAGCGCAAAGTCTGTTCTCAAAACTCGCACAGGTAGTTCTCTTCCATTTTTTAGTAGCTGCTCTTGGTCCTGCGTCCAACTACTTCAAGCAGGGATTGCAAACCCGACAGGTTCCTTTCTAACCAAGCCATGTGGAGGAGTCAAGTGTGTTGTAATGTGCAGAGCAGTGTAGCCACTCCTAAGTGGAAAAAAGTCATGCAGCTGGCATCGTCACTAACTCTTGGACGAGCTTGGCTCTGCCGGCCATAAACTGTAACAGGAAGCGAATTCGGATCAACGTTTTAGCACATCTATCAGTACGCTCTTCAAGTGATGGCTTTGCCACCTACCACGCCTGTATTAGCGAATCCTCGGCGTCTTACCACGCCTTCATCAATAGACATCGTTTGGCTGTCTTGTAACAATTTTTCGGAGTTAGCAATTTATATGTTTCTATCACAGCCTGATAGTTTCATTTGTTGAGGAATGGCTTTGTCGTGAAGTTTTCTCGTCGAAGAAAGTTCCTCGATAAAAAGGATGCGTGTTTACGCTCAAATGTATTGGTAACCTTTTGCATTGCTCGACCCTACACTGTCTGGTGAAGTAAAGTGGCATTTCTGCATATGGTAGGAATGGCAATGAAGCTTCTTCTTGTCAAACCATTCTATCGACAACTTTGATGAATCGTACCCCCTTGCCATCTTTTGATGGGTCACCAAGGATCATGAGCAACCCGTAAGCGGACCACTTGGTAGCCCTATCTCTGTAAATACCGGCGTTCCTTCCCCTTCGGACTTGTCTTTGATTGTTCTATTTTCCTGACTCGTTTAAAAGCACGGTCATTAGCGGAATTACATATTTCAGGATGCCCGTCTGCTTCTTGCATGCAAATGATTGCAAGTGGCATTGAATGAGCATTCACCATCTCAAAGATATAAGTCTTACCTTGGTAACTATGCAGATTACAAGGAACCCTACTTATGCAACCAATTAATAACGTATGGAGTAAAACTAAACAATTATTCCTGCCTCAAGGTCTTGGTTTTTTGCGTGTGTTTATGTGGATGTGTGACTTAATGTGATGGATGCATGTTTTGATGGATGTGGCTGGGTCTTTGTATGTGTGTATGTATGTGTGCGTATGTATGTATGTGTGTATGCGTTTGTATGTATGTATGGATCTGTGCATTTACATAATGCGGTATGTGTGTGTGCAGTATGTGGGCATGTGTGTGTATGTTGTTACGTGGCATGATGGGATGTGTGCATATTTATGGTATTGAATGTATATGTGGATGTTCGTCTGTGTATATGTGTACGAATGTGAGCATAAGGGTATGTGTATGCATGTGTGTATGCTTTTGTATGTATGTATGGGTCTGGTATTTCCATGTGCGTGTGTGTGCATAATTTGGGTAAGTGTATTCAATATGTGTTTACGTGCATGTATGCAGTAGGTTGCGGTTTTGTATATGTATATGTATATGTATATGTATATGTATATGTATATGTATATGTATATGTATAAGTATTGTATATGTGTATGTATATGTGTATGTATATGTATATGTATATGCATATGTATATTATATGTATATGTATATGTATATTATATGTATATGTATATTATATGTATATGTGTATGTGTATGTATATGTGTATGTATATGTATATGTATATGCATATGTATGTATGTGGGTATGTGTGTATGTGTGTATGTGTGTATGTGTGTATGTGTG